CAGGGTGCACCATGTGGAGGTAAGTCTATCGCACACCCCGCCATTAATTTAATAATATAGGAAAACAGATTTCTCCATATTGACGTAATATTCAAAAGACAATATTCAAAATCTACGAAATTCGACACTATAATATTGTTAATTTTTAAATCCTAGTTGGTTAATACACGCTTTCGAATCATTTATATTAAATGACAGGTTGTATGGTAATTATCATTAATCCTTTAGTTGACTACAAGCTTCAGGGAATAGAGGAACATCAAAGTGAGAAAAAGTCGATAGAGGCGGGGGGGGGGACAGAAGAGTGACTCACAGATGTAATAGAGACAGACACAAAGGTAGAGCAACGGTAAGGTGAGTACGGTGAAAGTGATCGAATATGACATACAGTGAGGTCATGGTAGTTTGAAGTCAATTGACGCTTGATAGACTTTTTTGCCGTACGAGTATATATTTCCCAGATTGCACCATGTGGAGGCAAGTATATCGTGCACCCCACTATCGAATCATCTGCTTATACTTTCTTCGAAAAATTAACTAAGCTTGTGCTGTACTGAGTATTTGAGCACTTTGGAGGAAATTGAATGTATGGAGTGGGTAGCGTTTATTACAACTTGGTCACTGAATAACAAGCAGGTTCACACTGCTATGGAGTGATTGTTGCTTGCTGGTTGTCTGAGATGTGCCTGCTCTCCCGACCACACTTGCTCGCCACTTTTCAGTTGCACGGTCACTCCTTCCAGACTGTTCCACTATCTAGCAAATTGCTTTTTTCAGCCTCGTTAGTGTTGCGAGCTTCACACTTCAATTAACCCAAAAATTGGTTTTATGCAGAAGACATGGCGCATATTAATCAGTTTACCCCTCTGTAAGGCCTCATGAACATTTTTTCACAATAATATTCACACCAGAACCAGTATTCTGCACCAAAATACTTTATTCTCAAAAACCTTTATCTAATTGAAGTAGACTCTGAATAACCATTGATTTGTTCTCCTTACTTTAACAGTATGTTTTATTTTTTTCCAAAAAAATATAAGACACATTCAATTTCAGTCATATATTACCTTCTATATGGATAAATAGACTGAAATGCCCGTCACAATAAAACAGGTTTGCATTTGTGGGACACACCATCGCCTAACGCGTGATCGCATGCGCGTACAACCAATGACCAATCAGAAACCTTCGTTTGAGTAAGCGGATCCGCCATGTTGTTTATGACTAACCTTACTGCGCGTACTCTTTTACAGCAATATACTTCCTGAATAAACGTGTTGCGTGCGATACGTCTGTTTCCTCTATAGCTGGATTGTAGCTTAGCTAGTTCCGGGAGTCTAGCTAGATATGGGAAATTCTACCCTAGAGGTTTCTGAGTCAGTCAAGGCTTTACTATTGTGGCAATCCGCTAAACATTCAAATATTTTAAACCAATAGGGAAGGTAGGAATAAACGTGCTCTGACTGTGAAAGGGACATCTGTTACTGAGAATACTGTTTCTCTCAAAAAGGAGTTAACAATTTCAAATGTGCTTTTACATAGATAGGAACAAGTCTTAAAGCCATGAAAACTTGCTCGAATTTGTTGCAACATATTGTGCTTCAGGGAAAACCTAAAGTTCTCAAAAACATCATTGTTTCCCCAATCGGAATGATCGACCGTCGTGCCCCGAAACAGTCAAAATTAGATCTAGCTAAGTATTGCACAAACTCCACCATATTTTCGTACAAAAACTAAACTCAATACTCATTCAATTTTCAACCTCAACCTTCGGTAAATACTATAAAAGAAAACAAATATTTTCCCGTAAACTGTAAATGATTTTGCTTTCATTAAATACATACAGAGAACCAACTAATTAGAAGATGACGCAGTTAGTCTATCAAAAATAAAAACCTTGTTCAGGGTTAAACAGCAGTCGCGAAGTGCGTTCCACAACATCCGAATAAAGGTATATATACAAATTTCTTCAAATCATTAATAATCAAAGTCACTTGATCGATTTTCCTTTGATTTCTCCTCCTTTTCTCGTTTCCTCTGCTCTTTTCTTTCCTCATCTACCAAACGAAGTGAAGCATGCACCATCCCGGCAACTGCAGAATCAAGATGATCCAGAACACCTCGTTGGAGCCATTTTGGAATGGTTGTTCTTGCACGCTGGAATCCAATATTCTCCAAGAACTTATCAAATGCTGGGACATCAATGTTTGAAGCTAGGAGTAGTCGGCATTCAGGCGAAAGACTCCAGTGAATGACGTCGTAACTACGTAGATCCTTCACAATTGGCGATGCCGTATTCACAGCAGTTGCCGCCGCAGTAGCTCCACGAACTCCAGGTAAAAGACCCTCTTTGGCTAGTTCCAGAGTTCTAGCAGTAACTGCATATGAGGGATCTGGTGTAGCCATACTCTCAATATCATTCATCTGTTCATTTATATACGACTTAATTAGGAATGGAAGCCAGGGAACATCTAAGAGACCTAGTTGAATCACTCCGTGGAGGTCAGTCTGGAAGCTCAGATGAACTTTAGCCGAAAGTGTTTCGGGAGGACCTCTCTTGTCAATGCCTTTGTCACTGCCATCAGGTCCATCCTGACCTTTTTTCGACCCATTTGACTCCCCCACATGGTCTGACTTTTCCGTTACAGTAGTATCAACTCCAGTTGCAAGGGCCTTTTCGTGCTGAAGGTCACGAGCAAAGGCTAAAAGCTCAGAAGGAACTGGATGAGCCATACTTTGCCGTTGGTCGCTAGTGAGTCGCATGGAGACTGAGGGAAGAACAAAGAGGATTTCCGCCTCAGTGGGGGGTTTGAGGGGATTTGGACGAGCGAGTGCGGTCACCGGAATACTTCCTGAAGCACCACCTCCAGAAGCAGCGATAACAGGAGGTGGAGGTGTTGCTGTAGTTGTTGCAGTGCTTGTAGAGGGACGATCTGGAGTAGCACGAGACTTGACTGCATCCACAAGGCGACGGATCGACTCAGTGGTTGATGAGGTGTAGGGAGTGAAATCAACGGCAAAATTAGTCACTGAAGGGAAACACAGATATACATTCACTAAATTGAAGCAGTTTAAGAATTGTGATCAATCAGAGAGCATGACTCACATTTAATGACATCTTCAACGAAATGTGGATTCGCCCCTCGAACATGACTGAGAACTGAAAGAAGATTAGACGTTAGCACTATTGAAGACATATTGTAATAAATGGGCAATATAATGAGAAACAATCCACGCGTTCGGCAAAGCTTGAATTTCGTCGAGGACCCCTCTAAGTTACAGGGGCTTCATTCACTAAAATTTAAATAACTCTTACAACCATAAATATATAATTATTGGTTGATTGATTGCAGGCTGGGTGAATTTCAGTGGGAGCATTCATTCTACTTTTCAGTTTATTTGGCAGAAAATCGCGACTTTGTTTAAATATAGGCTTTGCTGCTTATTTGGCACTTACCGGTAATATCAACGGCCATGAACATAAATTCAAGCCACTCAGCAATGGTAGGAGTGACGAGCAATTTCACTGGATTCTGTTCACGTCCACGTCTTACTCGTAGCACGTAGGCAGTTTGAGGACGATATTGAAGCTGGTGACCCAAGTCGAAACTAAGTACTTGTCGTACATTCAACCAACCACCCACTTCGTCTATACTCTGTGGCAGGCGATCAGGATTGTCATCACAGGCGAAAGCGACAGTCTTCTTATTCATTGTTGACGCTCGTCCTGAACTAGACTTGGGGTCCTGACGGGGCTCACGTTGAGCTTCGGTCTCAAAGCTAAAAGGTAGTAATCGATGAAGAAAAGGACGAAAAGGCACCCTTAGCATTGATAGAAAGCAGATTTTAAGAATACGCTCTTGTAGAGCAATTTAGGGTGAAAACAAGCCCAGTTGAGCCCTCTGGAAAAGTACACGGTCAAGTTCCAATGAAGACGACATGTTTACTGACATGGTATGAAGAGTCTTCCTAGATGCTCTACCCCATAATCTTCATCTGAATCCCCATTTCTTGAGGTGGTGAACACCAATCTTCTAAATAGACATTTAAGCTACATTCGAGGCCACCGATCACAGCTTAGAATATTGTGAGTTTCGGTTAATTTTACCTACCAAATGATTGGACGTTGCATATTAAAGACAGCCCAGTCAGGAGCAGATCTGAATGTTCCAGCGAAACAAGCTAGGGCCAACGAATTTCCAGAAAGTTGCAGTGATCCACCCAACACCGGGGGTACTGAACTCTCATCCGGCGGAGCGGTTGATTCAAGTAAACTCTTTCGAACAAGCGGGGCTTGAGCTCCAATCTGTACAAGGCAGGCACGAATACCCTCAAGTATAGGCTTCTGCCAGTGACGTTGAAGAAGATTGTCAACGTTCGATTCTGTGCAGGAGAATCCCAGCGCTGCGCTCATAGCCGCGGGTTCAATCACCTCGAAAGTTTCACCACTCTCTGTGGGAAGGGAGAGACTATCTCCTACTGTTCCACCTGTTGCAGTGCATGAGTTATCTGGACGTAGAAGGTAGTCACCCTGACCGATCCAACTATTGCGACCTTCGCGCAACTGCTCCTCGAAGTATTCGCGAACTTTTCGAGCAGAGCGGACTAAATCAACGGTCGTTGTTCGAGCTATGGCGACCTAAAGTTTAACAAGATTATGTTAGGTTGAAATTATGCAAGGCTTAGAGTCAATTAAGGGAGTGGGATAATAATTTATTACTGTCTTTTTTGGAGCAACAGGCAAGTAATTTATCGGGACAAAGTGGGAATTAAATAGAAGTACTCGTCGATAGAGGAGAGGCTGAATAAAAAATGCAGCGCCTTGCTACGTTTCCAATGATTGCAGATAGTGTATGTAGGAAAAACAGGATGGTCAATCTTTCAAAACCTCATCCTAAGGTTACTAACAAAATTGAGTCAGTTTGTCATCTTTCTTTCACTTCCAACACCTGAATTTCATACACCCCATGAACCTCAATGAATCTGAAGATAAACTGACCTGCAATTGATCCCAGTTGATCTCTCCAGCTATCATGACATACACCGGTGGAGCCCCGATATTTCCAGAGGCAGCCTCAACATTCTCCTGACCTCCCAAAGGCGTAGAGAATTTCCTTGAAGCCAGGACGGTTGACGACCCACGCTCCTTTGAATCTCCAGAGGATGAAGAAACAGATAAATGAGATGCTTCTCTCAGCTTCCAGTCATCATTTAAGTACAGTTCAGCTTGATTCAAACGTAAGAAGACTATATTTGTATTCATATATTCAATTCGCAACTGGAAACCCTGCATCAGCAATTCGGCGCTGTGTTGGGGGTCATAACGCGGATCTTCCTTGAAGTGGACTCTCGATTCGAGATCTAAGAGGGTGAATTCACCTCCCACTATACCTTGCTCGCTGGTGAATTGGCAGAGATGAACTCCAGCTCCTAGTGAGCCATGTCGTCGTTTAGAAGAGTCTTGGTAGAGTCGACCATCACAGAAAACATTCCGAATGTCCAATCTAAAAGTTGTAGTGAATGAGTAAATGCACCTTTTGAAGAGAAATTTGGTATAAGAAATGACATTTACTTAGTTCGACCCATAGCACTCCCCATATATGTTCGAATGTCCAGGTGGCCAATTTTGGCGTAGAATATGGGGACGGCTTGCCATGATACGACCCGACTATAGCCACGACTGGTTGAGAGAAGGAAACCACCGTTATCTGAGCAGTGCTGAGGTGGTGGAGGTAGGGTAGTAGACGTAGATACTGACTGTGTGGGTACATCAGGATCCATTCCCTCACGGGGGGCTGTTGCACTTCTTCGCCTCGATACCCGTTCAGCAGTGCCTCTTGAAAGTTTGATTGGTGCTGCAGCCGTACCTGCGCTCGCACGCACCTCTCCTACACACGGAGAGCATTTAATTATGTTTGTTTAAGATGAAGCCAATCATTTGCTTGAGGATGACATTTACGCAATTGAATTATGAACTAACTTACTACTCAAACTTGGACCCTTTTGGAGCCAATTAGCAAGCGAGCTGTCTGCTGGAGCACTTGGTGGCATTGGACCACCCTTCAAAACTATTTCAGGGGCCTCGTCTTCACTCATAACATCGTCATTATCGTCTTCTGTCGCAACATTTTCACCCTTGGGTTGTTCAGCTGTGTCTGTAGGCTCAGGCTCTGCTTAAAAAAGTAAAAGCACGCAATTATAAATGTGTTAAAAAATAAACATTTCTTTAATAAGTCTGCCACTAACGCGGTATCTTTGAATCCTTTCCGATGAACAAGGCGCGTGCAAGACTATTTCTATACCAAGCTTTGGGAAGATGTAGGATCTCTAGACTTCTTCGTGTATCACATTTGAATTCAGCTACTCCAATATCAATAACGCCTAAAAGCAAAAAAGAGGTTAAATTTTCATAATAAAAACATAGGTGACACAAATGCTTTCAAAGATCAAGTCTTAATCGTCATAAACACAAAGTAGGCTTATAAAAATGTAAGCCTACAGAAATCATTACTATTATTATTTCAAATGGCAGGCGTTTTGAATAGTTATCCTAAGCCATTTAGCTGACTTCGGGCTTCACAGAGGGAGGAACGTCAAAGTGAGAAAAATTCGGGAGGGGGAGCAAAAGAGTGATTCACAGATGTAGAAGAGACAGACAAACCAAAGGTAGGGACAGAGGTGAGGTGAGTACTGTGGAAGTTGTGGAATATGACATACAGTGGGCATGGTAGTTGGAAGTCAGGTTTATATCATATCAATAAAACCAGTCCATGTAAGTAAGTATGTTGTATGCCAATAGCGCACCAAATGCACGACTTCCATTCCGAAGATGTTTGATTGAATGTGGGAACTATTTCCAGTGGTTAGAAAATTGAAGAATCCCACATATTTCCCCACTATTCGTCCTGCATGCCATTTGACTGAATTTTGAAAGTAGAAGACAAACTGTTTCGGCATTAAATATTCACGCCATTTCTTTCACGTGAGAAATCAAAAGAACGAGGTAATTAGATTAAGCAAGAACTTATGACGAAAGCCGAGCGGTCAGTCAGATTACTTAATCTATGAGAAGTCAGTAGCGCCCTACACTGCGGTAACTGGGTTAGCAGCGTCGGATCACTTAATGAGCTGCTTGTGAGGTATGGTGAGCAAGACTGACCTCTCATGCTCTTAAGCGTGCCCAGTTTGACCAACTAACCAGTTTTTAAGGGATTCAAACCTACCCGAAAATCGGACAATATTGTGGAGAGAAACGCTATTCGCCCCAGAGCTGGCAGTCACATAGCTATTCATAGTAGCAGTAGCTGCACGAACATCAGTTGTTGTTGTTGTTGTTGTTGTTGTTGTTGCCATATTGGAACTCGAAGAAGGACGTGGCAGTAACTGCAAAGTTTGGCTCTGCTGACCGATAATATTCGTCTGAACAGTACGGGAGATATTGAGTCTGATGTCGTGAACTTTGAGAGTGAGTGAGTCGCCGGGTGAGGTTCCGTCTGCCTCGGGATGTGGACGCAGGCCTCCACCAATTCCTCCTCCGTATGGATGAAATACTGACATGCGAAACTCTAAAACAAATTCATAAAGTACAATTAATAAATGGATGATTCGAAGAAGTAGTAAAGTAGATATAGGTAAACGAGTACCATTCAAGATAGCGGTAACATTCAAACCACTGGCTGATACCAAATCACCGAGGATGATGTCGTCCACTAGATCAACGGGAATAGAGAAGCGAGTGGCTGGCTTTCCATCTAAGGGCACGAATAAAAACGAATTAAAGATGTCTCTCGTCAAGGAGATATCTAGAAATAAATGTAGGGAATGCGATTTACCGGAATCTTTAAAGTTCTCCTCAGCAAGGCGCTCAGTCGAAAATATGACATCGAGAGAGGGAAGTGAGATAAGACATTGCATTTGAGAGTCAGGTAAACAAAGGAACCTAAGAACAGGGCGACATGAATGTCGAAAGACTAGATCTTCCAATGACCTACAGGGCTAATTTGTCCACCTATCAATCAATCAATCAACCATACTTTTCTAGACTTTTAGGAATTATAAGGATATTTACAATCATTCATTGTTTGGAAATTAAAAGGCACACAACTCAACATACCGAATTGAAGATGGTTGAATTCGCAGATGAACGACAACATCGACCATGAAAGTCTTATTGCTAATCATAAGTGCATCATTGAGTTGGACAGAGGAATTAGGTTGATTGGATTGGGCGTCATCTGATTCAGACTCGAAAGCTGATGCTAAATAGCGAAAAAACGAGAATTATCAAGATTGCCACTAGTTGTTGTCAGTCAAAGTCGGCGTGGTACGAAATGACCCCAATTTCAACTAAGTACCAATGACTGTAAATGGCTATTCTAGTGAGGCATCACTTTAACACACGATACACTTCACACATCATTAATGAGTATTAAGATTCCAAAATAATTGGCAAGCCTGCACAAGATATAAGGACCCACCATGATAAAGCTAAATTGTAATCTCGATTCACGAGAATTAAAATGGCGTGAAAAGAAGAAAGCAACAACACACCCGGTAAATTTTCCAAGGCTTGCTCCAAGAAGTCCAATAGACCTGGATGAACGATCAATGTCTAAAAGCGACAAAAAACAGAGGTATCAGATGAGAAATGGGAGAAAATATTGTCAACAGTATGATCAGTGCGTACATGGGGCAATTTTTGCAGAACAACGCTAGCATACAGATCCGCTGATCTGCCCACATCCAAAGTCCCGGTTTGAGAATTAGCCGTAGTAGTAGCTTTTGCCCCTTGTGAGGCTTCTTTCGACCTGGCTCCATCGTCAACCGCTTCTTCATCCACTCTTCTTGCTTGGTCTGGAGCATCAATACCATCAGCTGGTGTGTTATTAGGTTCTGCAACGACAGTCTTTTCGCTTTCACTACTGGTAGGCTTTAGTCTCGCAGTCCTAGTATCATCCATGGGAGATCTGTAAGACTGCTGATTCCAGATATCGTAGTTTGTATGTGATTTGTAGTGAAGCTAAAAGCACAACACGTATAAAGAGCAGTGGCTAATCACACGAGAATACATGACAAGAGGGAAATGATCAAAATTATAACTGTTAATTAACGTTGCTCCAACAGGAATTTAATAGACTGAATTTCAACTCACGCTAACATCCAACGCAGGCAAATAGAAAACCGATACATCAGTAGGTTTCAAAAGCGGATCTTGTGAAAGTTGACGCTTATATCGACTTAAGTAAGCCTTGTAGAGGTCATCTTGAAGTGAGCAAGGGTTACCAATAGCTGGCGAGCTTGGCCAAAGTGATCTTCCACCGAGACCAGTAGCACCTCCTACTTCTTGTTTGGGTAAACGCGGATGCAAACCACAACGACCTGAATCAACGTGAATGTTAACGTCCAGTTCTAGCAGCAGGCTACTTCTTGGAGGCTCATCTGTAGAGAGCCGTCTATACGGTGGTTGGTGTCCGGAAGACTTCAGGACAGAAGATGCAGATGTGTGTTTGCGTGGTGGAGGAGCAGGACGATGTTGCACTTCATCATACAGTGGTTCCTCTTGAAGAGAATTTGTATCTAAAAGAGGTAAACGTGATTCAAAGAATATTGAACTGCAGATTCACCGAATAGACGCCCGTTTCCGGATCTTCGTAAAACCCCAATCCATATCGACGTCTATTTTGGTTAGAAGTCTTATACACGAAGTTAACGATAGAATAGTGCATTATGGTGGGTTATATGCTTGCAGTGGAAACATTTATGAATATGCACTTAGCATCTAGAGGGTTAGACAACTATACTCAGATTGTATCGTCCAATAAAGTGCATTTTACCATAACAATGAATGGAAGAGGTTGGAGTTGGAATCGAACGAGATTGACTAAGTCTACGCTCATCCCACAGCTTTCGAAGAATGTGGGGAAGAAAGATATCTGCAATATGCGATCTCCAGTCGACTAGAATACACAATTAGTCAAAGGGGAGACCGGATACAAATTTCACATTATGGTACTAATGTGGGGGGAAATCATACCTGTTTGAGCATTAGCGAATGAATCGAGCCGAACAGCGTTAGCAGACGCCCTATCTTCCGCATCAAAGTAGATGGAATCGGTTCGTGAAGATGACGAAAGAGCCAAAGCGTTTGAAGATGCAGTAGCGCTAAATGGTTCAGGATCATCATATATCGGAGCGGGAGACGTCAAACCACTGTTCATGCGTTGAGAGCCGTCGTGCTTATGCTTCTCCTTCACCAGTGAGTTTGTTCGGCGAAGGTCTCCAGGAATGTAAGATGATATCGTAGCTTTCCGACGAAGATTGCTCCATTTAAAACGACGGTACTGACTGGAATGTTGCTGGAACGTATCCGAGTTTGAAACACTAAAGAGACACGAATCACAAATAAACTAAATTAAAGAAGTGGAAAGAGACTTCATTTTATACTAAGGAGGTAAATGCTTTCATTCGATGTCGACTAAACAATTCGTAGCACCAACTATCAATTGCAGTCATTCAATAATAAAAAAACAAAGGTAATCAGTAACAGTGAACTAAAACTTCAAAACATGGAAATAAACTCCTCTTAACCAACAATTGAATTAACGCACTCACTACCAATCGCGGTAGAAGCAAATCGAACCCTGTGGTTTCAATGAAATTGTCGGGGAAGCTCAGGAGAGCCGACAAATTGGACTCGTCGGTCTACTTCAACCTAAGTTAATCATCTACACTTAAATGTAGTCAGGCTAAGTCCTATGCCTCAGGGGCATTTAATTGCCCTCCAATCACCCAATTTAGGCTATCTTAGGATTAAATATTCGAGCAGTTTGACATTGTGAATAAGGGATGTGTGCGATAGACTTACCTCCACGTGGTGCACCATGGGCAATGTATACTCATACGGCAAAAAAGTCTATTAATCGGCTTTCGTGTATACTCATACGGCAAAAAAGTCTATTAATCGGCAGTTGTCTTCTCACTTCAAACTACCATGACCCCCCTATATGTCCTATTCCTGAATTCAAACTACCATCACCCCTACTGTATGTCATGTCCGACCACTTCCACAGTACTCATTTTACCTTTTCTCTGCTTTTACCTGTCTGTCTCTTTTACATCTGTGAATCTCTCTTCTTTTACCCTCTCGAATTTTTCCCACTTTGATGTTCCTCCCCTCTGTGAAGCCCGAAGTCAGCTAAAGGACTAATGATAATTATGAAAACGCCTGCCATTTGATATAAATAAATCAAATACATTGTGGATATCTCAGTGAGCAGCAAAAATTTTGTCAAAAGTATTAAGAAGAATTCTGAGGGGCGGGTTTGTAGTAAGAGCAAACTGATTTATTTCACTTTTTGGCGAAGTTTCTACTTGCTTGTTAACAAAGAAAGCACAATCTAACCAATCAGCTCTCTCGACTCAATGGGCACCATATTGCACAGCCAACCTTAGTCTCACTTTTTACATAGATCAGCTCTACTGGCGAGCTCGTCATTTTCAAAAACTTAGCCTCATAATTTATGTTAAAAAAGGCCCAGGAAAATTAAATTAGGGAGAAACAACTCACTCTGACGACTGATAATCAAGCGCTTTGCTTCTACCGACCGACAAGGTCGATTGGAAGACATTGTCACTGGCCTTTTCCATAGACGAGGGCCTGAGAGAGGATTTATCTCGACAAACACCTTCATCAGGACCAGAAGGTTTACTCAGTTCGTCTTCACCATGTGCATCGCATCCGGCTGCGGTTACTCCGGCAGAATTTAGGTGAAGATCAGTCTCCGACCTAGTGACTGTGGTAAGAACTTCAAAGAGAGCATTCAGTCGACGTCCAATATTGTCATCCAAATGCATATCCAATCCACGCATCTCATATTGAATTTTTAGTAACCAACGACCTCTTTCCTCTAGAACAAAAAAAAAGAATGAAGCTTAAGTCATACTTATAAAGAAATTAAACACTCCATGATTGAAGATATGGCAGTTTTAAATAACATAGTTTCTAGAAACTTTTCATTGAGACGACGCTGCTTAAGCGCATGGTAATATGACATATTTCGTTGAAATTCACTCCCCCCCCCCCCCCCCCCCCCCCCCCCCCCTCCCCTCCTTCGCCACATCAATAATGCCATGCCTACACGATCAAAGTCATCGGCCAGCCCCTACTACCTTTCCTTCGTAAAGCCTCTGTCCCCACTCACTCATTCTGGGGAGCCCCTCTATCATAACTTAAGCCTAATGGGGAGAGTATTGATTATACAAAACTTTCCAAAGGCCACATAAGTCGTAAAAGTAGCATTATTGATTAAATGAAAGCAAAAAAATTTACCAGCACGCAGAGCTTCAACTGCTTTCCAACAAACTTGGAAGGTTCCACTCGGCACTACACATCCATTCATGACAACCAAATGATTCTCCTTCTTCACTGTCACGGTGGAACGAGACTTATCCGGTTTCCAATCATCTGAACCAACATTGAAATCATCATCAAATCGCAGGCAAAAGTCTGTGAATTCACCCTCACTAACAAGGGAACCACGTAGACAGGCGGAAATTCGACTCTGTTCTAGAGTCAACACAATAGCAGTGCGTGAATCCAATTCCATGGATTGAGGACCCAATTGAAGGAGATTGGTGGGTAGACAGATTCCAAGGTCTTCCACATTAAGTTGGAAGAAGAGAATAGGACCAGAAGATACTGCAGGCTGTTGTTGTGGAGCAGAGGTGGAGGTGTGTTTCGTAAGACTTCCAGTCGTTGAACTGCCATCTGATGGACTGGAAAGGCTTGGGGTGGCAGCTAAACGAAGAGGGCGCTCAGGAGAAGTGTAGAGGGCTAGACCTTGTGATGAGGAAGTGCATTGTTGTGCCCTCTCTGTTCCACGGGTTGATGGCATAGCTGCTTCACTTGACTGTAGCGAAAAAGGCCAGATAGAGAAGCAAGCAGTATAAAAAAACAGACAAAAGACCGACAAAAGAGAAAAGCGCCACAGATTGTCTCTAAGTCCCTTCTCGCCCTCATGAACATGAGAGTGGGTGCGAATCATGACACCAATACCATTGTTCGGGTTATAAACTGCTATCGACCTATTTTGAATTTCAATCAAAAAAGTATGAAGACGATATGTATTCTTTGAATCACAGTCTACGTCGAGATGATAGTCTTTGGAGAAGTTTCAGTTTGTTATGCCTCTCGGACCATGTCTAATTAACTGTAGCCTAGTTATATCTAGAGGCCAGTTAGATTAAAGCAACAGAAGAGCCCAACAACAAGAATAGCCCTGCATGAAAAAGCCTAAAGACGACCACTTACCAATGCATCCAATTGCTGTAGGTGTTCATTCCACTTGGCAAATTCACTGTTATAGACCATCCATATGAGTATTGCTAAAATAGAGGAGACGCGTTAGCTAATCTAAGTATTACCTCTATCAAAAGCCGACGGTTTCACCCAGATAATGGGTCGCCTCAATAACACCAGGAAAGCTTCCTGACCCACGGTAGATCCAATGCTACCACCTCCCGTATTACTACCTCCACAGTCATCCAAGGGAGTAATTACAACACTGCTTGCAACACTCGTAGTTCCGGAGTGAGGAGGTTCTGCAGATTCAAAGACAGGAGTGGTTGAAGTGCTGGCTTCACCGTCCATGCGTGGGGGAATGGAACGCGAGTGTCCATGACGGGTGGTAGTTTCATCGGTTGAGCGGAAACTGAATGGAGTATTTCGATGAGTGGTTGATGTCACGTTTGTGGCCGCTGTTGAAGTAGTTGGTGGACTAACTTCCTCAGCAAGAAGAGAGCGTAGGGCAATTGCAGTACGAAAGAAAGCCAAGGTGCGAAATTCTTGATCCCACACTTCGTAGAATACATCCTAGAGTTATTCGGACGATTCAATGATTAGCATGAGAATGAGAATGAGTGAAAAGTGCGCAAAAAGAGAAAGTCACGTCCTTACTTGATCAAGATGGCCCAACTCAATACTTAAGTGATCAATTTTTGCGTAGATAAGAATGGATTCAGAGCCTAAAAGAACAAAAACAATACTTTATTGAAAGCATTAATTTAGGAGTGTTAACTAATGATGAAAATCGGATAAATAAATATATAATGGTAAGAAACTGCAGCTCTTCTTACTGCAGATCCAACCCATCTCTCCAACTAATTATCTTGATAATTTAATCGACATGTACAAGAAGGACGCACTGATGACACCATTTTGTGAAAATACAGTAGCCATTTTAATCTTAATCGACCAATAACCGTACCCACTTCCAAAGCATCTCAATATTAGTAACATATTCCACTGATAGTTGGAACCGAATTGCGTCCTTTTTTACATTTGCTTTACAACATAGTCTAACCTACTTGAAATAGACATTGTCTCTGACGATGCTTGATGTCTAGAGGTTGAATCACCACGAGTCGGTTGGCTCTTTTCAACTTTCTTACTAGTGGGAGGTGTTGAAGCCGCCAAGTCTGCATGCGGTCTAGCAGCTGAGAATGAAGATAAGGAATCCGTGTACCAACTCGTATGCGTTCTTCCAACCCTATTTGACAACTCAACATGCATCTCCGAGGTCTCAAATTTAACTGCTCCGTTTGAGGTCTTAGCTAAGAGAAGAATTCCACCGAATTTCAACCTGAAACAGAGGAGAATGTTATATTTAATTTGTGAGATGGAATTTAACGCTATGAGAGATAAAATGGAACTAACCGGAAACTGAAACGAGTCGAAACAGAGAGGCGATTGGGTTGAGCCGATGCTGGATCAATGGAAGGTTCTGTTGAAATTGCCGAGTTGGAACAACGACGAAGAACGGGAGGTTGATGCGAGTAGTGCTGTGATGGTTGACGAGAATGAAGAGAGCCACCCTGAGACAGTGATCCTGTCTGCCAGGGCTGCTGTTCTCCCGCCATTTTTCGAATGACCTCATTTATTTCCTGTGCAAATAAATACAAATTGAAAATACCATCTACCCACCATAAGGCAAAGCAAAAAATTGTCAACTCATTTTTTTCACTTTGAAATGGCTAGACGATAATGACAAAGTGCTTAATCGAAAACGAGTGGAACCAGAAAGACGCATAGAAATTTAAGATAGAGATGACCGAGCCGAGAAGTCGATGGAGAGTACTAAAAAGGAGAATTGATCCTTCCGCCCTCAAGTTAAGAGAGAGCTAAAATCTGTCCTTTTCGAACAGGTTATCACTTAACACAATATAATTTTCGATCGTAGCCACGTTCGGGACGATTTTAAGCCATTGCATATGTTAAGACGCAAGTATTGACCGAGTCAATTGTTGATAGACTTATATAATGTGTGAAAAGGGGTGCGCGATAGACTTACCTCCACGTGGTGCGCCTTGGGCAACGCATTCTCATACGGCAAAAAGGCCTATAAACCGCCAGTTGACTTCTTACTTCAAACTACCATCACCCCACTCAATGTCATATTCGATTACTTCCACAGTACCCACCTCACCTTTTTCTATCTTTGTGGCAGTCTCTTTTACATCTTTGAAACACTCTTCTGTTCCCCCCTCTCCACTTTTTTTCACCTTGATGTTCCTCTTCCCCTCTGTGAAGCCCGAAGTCAACTAAAGGGCTAATGATAACTATTAAACGCCTGCCATTTGATATAAATAATGTGTGAAAAACAGTCCAGAGAGTTAACCAAAAGGCCATTTATTCTATCCTGCAGACTTTCAGCAACTTTAATTTTGGAGATAAGTTAATGCCTACCTATTCAGACCATATGGAAAATCATATTTAATACACGGATGTGTTGAAGCTCCATGCTCGTATGACTGAAAGTTAAGTGTCAACTAGGAGTTTTTCTACCCCAAAGTTGGCGATAATATTAACCACTACCAGAGATTGATAGGAGACTCTGACCTTACGCTTTCAAGTATAAACAGCAAAAAATAAAATAGAAATGAATAGACTGTTTCTTCCGCAAATTACAGACTTAACTCCCCCCCCCCCCCCCCCCCCCCCCCCCCCCACCCCCTCCATTCGTTAGCGTGAATTCACTTACCTTCATGAAGAGTTTAACCACAACCATGATATAATTGAGCCTATCGGAGGGTAATCGTTGTTCAAAGAACCCCACAGAAACTTGTGCATCCAGATAGGAACCTTCCCTAGTAGCGACAACTTGTGGACCGACGGAATTCCCTGATGGCGACTGCCGTTGTGTTAGGGAGGCTACGATCTTTGGCAAACCGAGACTAACCGCTCGTGGGAACATGATGGGAAGATGCTGTAATAAATAATGGTTAAGTGACCCCAAGTACTGGAGAAATTCATCAACCCTATGACCTACCACGGATTGAAAACTGAGAGAATGAGTATTAACAGTCACATCTAGGTAGCAATTAGGACCAATGCGTCCAAAGAAGTAGACAGGGTCCACAGCATAGACAGCATCAAGTGAGGGATGGAGACAGACATTGATAGTGAGACCTCTTGCAATTGCAGTCACATTGATTATGAGAGGAGCCACAGGCGGAGTTGTGGTATTAATGAGATGACGCTCTTCAACCCCGGACAGACGCTTTATATCCTCCGGAGTTGGAGTCAAACCTCCATCTGTGAAGGTCCTTCTACGCAAAAGAGAAGATATATGGGAAAAAATATATATAATCTTTTATAATGTTTTTTTTTAAAATGCCAAGCAAAGACTGTTGTTTGGATTGCTTATTGAAAACTGCAAGGAAACGATCAGAAAATTCTAAGTAGAATCGGTACTCTCAAAAGTGTAATAGAATATACTTGAGCACAAAGTGCTCAGCTAGTAAAGAGACTTAGCAATGAGATTAAGAAATAATCCTGCGTATTCCTATTTGGAGATTAAATCTTCTACAAGTTGAGCTCATTTCGCTTACTATTCATTAAGAGAATACAAATAACTGAGGGTTGAATTAACACAAATATCATTGTCAAACTTGAAAGAGCCACGTGTTCTGTTATGAACTACTCACAAAGAGCAAAAAAAACTGTGATTCATTTTGAAAATTTAACCATAGATAAGCCTTAGCGTTATTTTCCAGACATGTATGTTCCTGTCACTGCACAACAGCGCACTCGGCCATTATTAGTCAACTCATTTAATCGATATGAGCTGACTTCTCGCATTTCACTTAGAGTCTCAATCCACACTCCCCGTTTTTTTTTCCTTTGCTCCCAAACTCTCACTTTTTAAACACACCCATCAACATTTTGGTATACAGAAGACTCTCTCTCTCGCGCGCGCGCGCGTCCCACTCCTTGAGGTTCTCCTTATTTACAACAAAGCTCTTCAAGCCGACCAATCACAAATGTTTCTTTTCACCGTCTTGTTGTGTGGTGAAAATCAGGCAAAAAAAAGTACAAAGGGAGTCGACTCAGCTCGAATCTGATTTACCTAAGATAACCAGATGTCCCTCAATCGGTACTTTCCTTTTTTCTGTTCAAGTTATAGCCCTCGAGTATCGGTAGAAATCGACTGCTGATTTCTCAGTCAATGGGACAACAGGAAAAATATCCAAGTCATCAAAATGCCGTAACCCAACACACCCCCCCCCCCCTGTAGAGGTTCGATTCAAACGCGTTTACTCTAATACTCACACAGCTTCCTTATCAGTAAAAAACACGCGAAGCTTCTGGCATTCGGAAAGTTATTGGAAAAAAAGGGCTATCAGTCCAGTTGTGCATCAGTCACCAAAAGCAATTATAATATGGTGGGCCTTCAAGAATGAAGGTTTGTTAAATTTCATGAATTGTCTTGGAGCAACAGTTATATTTTGGTCACACACACACACACACACACACGCACACACATATAGCCTCCTACATTGTAGAAGAGCTGATTTACAAATCCATACACGTCAATTAAAACACGAATTTTCCTTACTTTCGACTGCTCGCCGAAGGGGGTACCGGGGTAGGGGTGGGTATTTGAAGGAACTCTGAGACAGTAGTACTGAGATGACGAGCCTGTCGCTGGACCATGCCGTGTAGACGCACAGGGTGATGAGGGACGGCAATTTCAACCCTACCCAAACCAATGGTACAGGCGTTGCGTTCACCATGACGTGAGGATCGAGCGCAGGAGAGGAGAACATGGGAATGGTCCACACGCATACAAGCTACTTTTCTACAACAATGTGAATATGATGAGATAAAACGTGTACCGAACATACAGAGAGAGAGAGAGAGGATAGCAAAGGATTGCAATACACCCTCCTTAACTATTAGTAGGTAGCAAGCCTAGATAGTTCATAATTTGAGCTACTTACTGAGCGAATTTGCCCAATCCCTCCGTAAGTCGAATGTCCCCATCACCAAAGTGGCCAGTGAAACTGAATTTGGATAATTTCTCCTTGAAAAGACCTGAAAGAAGAGATATGACATGATTAAGAGACTATGTTAGGTAAGCAGTTGTGTCACAATCGCTTCTTTATTACGCCAGTCAACAAAAAAAGTACGATCATCTTATATTAATCTTAGGGAATAATCACTTAGTCCGTTATGATGACAGCGTCCTATACTACAGAAAACTCTACACAGACTACAAAATAATCAACGAAACATAACTTCTTCCAAACGTAATCACCACAGACTTTCTCAAATTGAACTTACTATGTCCTCGAACCCTATTGGTCTTAGTGAACGAGCCATGGATTCCTCGTACAACAGCCGTGAGGTTGACCTCCGATAGAACGGCTGAAACAGTCATCTGTCTAACACGCATTGTCACTAACACTACGGTGGGAATTCTTTCCGAGGTTTTGAACCACGCCGAAGAGGTTTTTTCACTCTGACGGCGAAACAGACCGGGCAATCCAGGGCCATTGGCCTCAGTCCCTGGTGCAACAGAATCGAAAGAGGCATTCACAGATGGGCGAGACAAGAGGCCAGATTCCACATCCACTGCAGAATCATGACGAGGTCCCGCTATGAATGAGAAGTGGGGCGCTGCGTTAGCAATCAGGCCTGCAACACCAGTATGACCTCCACTCTCCTCTTTGGCTGGCTCCTGAATTAAGGGGAAAACTTGAAGTAAGCAAATAATTTATTTGTGCACGAGCACACTACTTCAAAATGCAATATTCAGACATTTATTAACTTGGAGTAAAACATATCACTGGCGAAAATACTATCACAAAAATGGAGCATGTATGCTTTAAATCATTACCTTAATTAGCGAGAAATCAATACGACAGTAGGCACTTAATCAGGATTGTAGAGTTGACTAGCTAATTTGTAGCATAAATTTGTCATATATATATATATATATATATATATATATAAACTAAAAATATAATATTTAATCCTTACACCGCTCACTAAGAAGTAGAAATATGAGTCGATATGACTGGTACTAGTTGCGAAACCTGGCTTAACCTCCCAATCTCAGAGACGCTAAATGGTCAGTGTAATGAACTTGTGGGAGGGGGGAGGGAGGGANGGGAGGGGGAAATGCATATTAAGGTGAGAAAAGAGACCTTTAGTAAACGTTACAAACAATGAGAAAATGAAATCTTGCCATTACGCTTATTTCAATTCCTCATTTCTTCAAGTGAATCACTTAAAGGTTGAAATTACAAATTACTTCATTGCTAAACTCTCCTTTTCCGGGATAGAACAGACACACACACACACACAGCTAAAGCATACAAACTACAGAATAGAGGGGTTTATTCCTTTGTTCCAGGATTTAATCATAATTTTAGCAGACAAATTGTTCAAAAAAAGGAATGACTATCTAAAGCCATCTTGATGGTGTATCACAAATATAATGAGAGTACCGATGGAAGACAACTAATGATTACACATGGATGTGCGATAGACTTACCTCCACGTGGTGCACCCTGGCCAACGTATACTCATACGGCAAAAAAGTCTATTATTCGGCAGTTGACTTCTGTCTTCAATCTACCATCACCCCACTATATGGCATATTCGACTACTTCCACAGTACTCACCTCACCTTTCTTCTACCCTTGTGTTTGTCTCTTTTACATCTTTGAAACACTCTTCTGTCTCCCTCCCCCCCNCCCCCCCCCCCCCCCCCTCTCGATTTGTTTCACTTTGATGTTCCTCCTCTGTGAAGCCTGAAGTCAACTAAAGGGCTAATGATAACCATTAAAACGCCTGCCATTTGATATAAATAAATAAATAAATGATTACACATTGGAGTTCTAATGAGGCAGAGTCAATTAATAATTAATAAATTTAAGTGAAATTAGTAGATCAAAACCAAATCTAGATAATTGGTTAAAAGTGGGTGGGGTGGGGGGTGGGG